TCTCCTGGCCCCTGCGCACGCCAATCTATGCTCCTCTCTGTCTCCTTACCTAGCTTCCTTTTTCTTTGTATGTCTTATCAATACCTGAAATAGCATTATGTATGTATGTTATTTTCTTGTTTTATTCTCTGTCTCCACCACTGTACTTGAAGCTTCATGAAGGAAGGACGTTATTTGTTTCATCCAGTGAGAATAATACCTAACACATTGCAGACACTAGCTAAGTATGACTGTACTTCAATTATTATTATTGAAGTAAAGTATTTTTAAATTAATGCTAAAAAGAGTTTAATTACTAACAAGGGTTTCTACATAGCTTAAGAACGATACTCATTTTGAGTGTTTTATTTGATACGCCTTTCTATTACAATTCTGAACATTCAAGTATATCAGTGATAAGTCTGAATCTGATAACAGTAGTTGTAATAGTAATTAAAACAGATACCATTATTCAGCTCTTTTTAGTGGCAGGTGGTTCATGTGGATCATTTAATCTAATTCTCAAAACAACCCAGTAGGGTATTTATTACCTCAATTTACAGACGTGATGTGGTGGTTTTAAAATATGCCTATGAATTCTTTGATAGCCCTCCTTTTAAAAGGTAGGGGCTAATTTGCCTCCCCTTGAATGTGGGCTAGGCTTGGTAACTCAGTTCTGAAGGATAGAATGTGGTGGAAGTGACAGCATTTGGCTTTCAGGATTAGATGGGCAGAGGCATTGTGACTTCCCTCTTGTTCTTTCCCTTTGGCCATCCAGTCTGGGTCTTAGTGTTCTTGTCTTTAACGTGAAGAGTGTGGATCAGTTGACATCCCCATCCTTTTAATGTGGTATGCTGCCGATCACCTTTTGGTCAAATAGCCCTGTTACATGGTCTAAGACATCACAATAATTTGTAGCTCTATGCTAGAAAGAGCTGATGCTTTGACAGTTTTGCTTATTTTGTTGGATTTGGGGGACTAGATGAGAATGGCATGAGGACACTCAAGGAACCTTGTGAAGAGGTTGACATGGCTAGGAGCTGAGGCCTCCTGCCCCCCAGCCATGTGTGGGCATCATCTTGGAGGTAGACCCCCCCAGACTCAGTCAAGCCTTCAAAAAATGGCATTCCTATAACTGCAAACCCATAAAAGACTATAAACCAGAAACCCCCAGCTAAGCTGCTCCCAAATCCACAACCCACAGAAACTGGGATAAAAAGGACCTTCTGTTTTAAGCCATTAAATTTTGAGTATAATTTATTGTGCAGCAAAGAATAATAAATACTTCTGGAAATGGAAGGACAGAGAGGTTAAGTCAAGAGGCTCAAAGCGTGTAGCTAGTAGTGATGCAAGAACTGACAAGACAGTTTGACTGTAGAGCCCGCATGCTCAAACCACCACACTATACAGGAGGTCAAGGTCATATCTCAAATAATACCAGAAGGAGAATACTGCCACATTCTAATGCCCTTGTCAGGGAAGTGGATACAATCTTTTCTTAAATATTAAACCAGCTGGTCTCACTCTATCACAAGGCCATATTGTAGGTAGCAACTGCCCTTGCTTCTAAATTCCCTTTCTGCCCCAGTTTTGTCCCAGCACAGAGTGGGTATCTATCTTAGCAGTATCCTGTTTCCCATCCTTTGGACTTCTGCTCATCTCCACTTCCAATCAGGGAATTCTGGTAAGATTGCCAGTTGTACTTTTCAAGCCTCATGGGTGAGTGTGTGACTTAAGCTGGCCAATCAGAGTGCTACCCACCGATCAGGGCAGAGGCAGGAGCATATGATCTACACTTGCCAAGCGGAGCCTTTCCCTGGGAATACCAAAATTATATAATATAATTTATATTGTATTTTATATCTTTTGAGATCCTGAATCCAGCCAACCCTGAAATAAATTCTATCCTTTTCTAATCTGTGTGAGTCAATACATTCTTAGTTTTAAATTAGTTTGAGTTTTATGACCTGCCCTTGAATTACGACTCGTATAAAAAGTCTATCTCAGTCTGTGGAAGAGAATATCCTCAATGGAGATCTTCCATTTTCCACAAGCAACATTTCTATGTTATCTGAAGAACCTGGAGCAGAACCGTCCACTGGTTGGGCTGACCTTCCCACAGAGGGGTGTAGAACCTTCCCTTCATCCTTTAGGAAGTTTCTGCTTTTTCTGGAAGCCCATAATGGTCTGGGGCAAGCTCAACATAAAACAGTGTTATGATGGATGGGTAGCTCATCCACTCAGTTTAAAACCTAGTCATCTCTGTATCCCTTCTTTCCTTAGCTGCTTACCCCCTCCCCCAATTCCCAACACAGGCGCGCACACACACATCCTGTTAGTCATCAAGTCCTGTTGATTTAGATCAAATGCTTTATGGAAGTAGGTGGAGTAACCATAATCAAAGTTGGTGGCTGGTGAGTTCTTCCTCTGAACATCTCACAAATCCAGTTTTTCTTCTTCATTTCTACTGCCACCACTGTGGCCCACTGCAATTGGTCTCCTTGCCTCTAACCTCAACCCCTGCAGTCCATTTCTCATATTTCTTCTAGAATGTATTTTCCAAAGCACACTTTTGACTGCCACATTCTTTTGATGGAGTCAAAAGCCTTCACCAGTTTCCCACTGCTGACTTGCTAAATTGCAAACTTCTTAGCCTGGTGCTCAGGACGCTCCGTGAACCAATCCGCATTCCCTATCCAATGTCCTTGACCTCCAGGAATCAGTCTTTCAGTCTTCTCATACCCTTCCCATCGCAGCACTGCCTATCATGTTCCCTTACCTCTTTCCCCAAATTAAACACTGTCCCTCCTTTTCTGAGTCTTCAAGGTCCATTTCAGTCGCCCCTCCTCCATAAAATGTTCCCTGAGCATGCTGATCCATAGTGAATATCCCCTTCTGTGAACTTTGTAAACAATTGTCTAAATGAGGGGATTTCAAAGTATGCTTACGTTCCCAGGGAGTATTTGGCCAGCAAGTCAAGTTTCGGATGTCTTTGTAAAACTACTGATTATATATTCAAATTTGCCTGAGCATATCATTTCCAAACCCAGTTTCTTGTCCTCTACTTCCAAATCATATCCTCATGCTATGGTGGTGCATTTACACCCAAGTACAAATTAAGGATAATTAAAATTTGTTTTGCTACCTACAGATAGAGAACTGATTATTGATGTTGTTATTTAAAACCATGACCATTGGGAAAATAGTATGAAAAGGGGGAGAGAACTGTTATAATGCTTTCCATGGTTTCTAAAACAAATACACTTTCTTATATATTATTTCCGCATCCTCATCCTTTTTTTCGTTTAATATGGAATTTTAACTAGAAATTGGTATATAAAATCTGTTGTATTGATGTAGTCTGACACACATTTATTGTCTAATCCCTCTCTGCCAGGAATAGTGATAGATGCTTGTGGTACAAAGATAAACTCCTGTAGGAGGAGGAAGGGTTTTCCAGATGGATCCAATGTGGAAGGACGTTCTAGGTTGAGGAAGCAGCTTGTGAAAACTAATGTGTCCTAGAATGAGTCAGATGTGAAACCTTTGTCACCCAGATTCTGTGGAATTCTTTGAATTGGAAAAATTTGGTGACTTCTAAAGGAGTGGCAACGCTGGATTAAACCCTTTCCCTTTGTATTATGTCCTCTTTTACTATATTGTCTTCCACAAGGGCAGTTCAGGATTCAGATTCAGACACAAGTCACCTTTATTGAGTTCTGCTGGTATAGGCCACTTCATATGGACACAGATCCTTTATTTCTCACATCTTAAATGTTTATTACCATCTCCAATTCAGAGATAAGGAAAGCAAGACTCAAGTGAGTAAAGCGACTTGTCCAAAGTTTCACAAATAGGAAATGGTGGGGAGAAGATGCACACTGCTTCCACTTTACTTCTGGAGAGAGTGGGCGTTTTAGGGGGCTGGGATGATCTGGAAGCCTGCCTTCCCAGGTTCTTAGTTAATCATATCTTTTATAGAGAGGAGCTTTTGAACAAAAGGGTGACCATTTATCCAGGGTATTCCTAGGAAGAGATGACTTAAAACGGAGTTTGGGTTTTAGAGAGCTTCGCCAGTCGCTCCAGCTCTGGAGTTCCGCACACAGTAGGAACTCTATTTTGTGGAATGGTTGAATCCTTCTCCCATATGTGTGGCTAGTCTTTCTTCTTGGATTCAAAGGCCCTGTGGGGAGGGTCCCAGTTGTGCCTGTCCAAGGACACCGTAGTTGGGTAGACTTCGGAAAATGTTTGTTGAAAACTGGATGAGTGAGTGGGTGGGGGTGGGTGGGGGAGGAGGTGTTGTTGCGGGGAGGCCACACCTGGCTGCCAAGACTTTCTAGGGTTTACGGGGCGCTGTCCCGGTTCGCCCTGGCGCCTCTGCGTGGGCCCTCTCGGCCCTTCTCCCCTTGGCCTCCGCATCTCCCAGAGCAGGCTGGAGGGAGGGGCCATGTGGCCGGGAAGGGGTCCCGCAGCCCCGAGGGCCCGCGTCTCGCGGGCGGCGCCCACTCCCTCCGAGGCTGGGGGCAGGACGTGCGGCCCCCGGGCCGGCTGGAGCCTCTCCCCTGCGACCTGCCCCCGCAGCCCTCTACCTGCCTCCCCGGCCGCCCCTTCGCAGTCCGGGGCCCGGTGCGCCCCGCGGGCACGTGGCCCGCCGCTCCTGGGGGCCCCGCCGCCGCCTCCGGGGCCAGCTCGTGGCGGCGGGGCGGGCCCGAGCGCCCCCCCGGCTCCGGGGCCGGTCCCCCGGGCGCGGCCGGGCCGCCGCCCCCGCCCCCCCCCTCCCCGGGGGCCGGGCCGGGCTCCCGGGAGGCGGGGACTCGCCCAGTGGCAGCGGCGTCCGGGCCGGCGGCGGGCGCAGGGCGGCTTCCTGCAGGCGGCGCCGGGGCGAGCCGTTGCCCGCTGCCGCCGCCGCCGCCGCCGCCGCCGCCGCCGCCGGGGCGCGGGGACCGCGGCGCTCGGGCCGCGTCGGTGCCTCCCGAGCGCGCTGCGCGGCCGTCGCTGCTGCCCGCGCTCGTGCCGCCGCCGCCGCCGCCGCCGCTGCCGCCGGTTACGCCAGCCCCGCCGCCGCCCGCTCCGATTCTGCGCATAGGCAGCCCCCAAGCCTGTCATTCTGCAAAAACACAGTTTACTCAACACACCACACACACGCGCGCACTCACACGCGCACCCTGGCCCCCTCGCGCACACGCACGGAGAGCGCGAGCGAGCGGACGCGCACACCCGGCGAGCCAAGTTCCGCAGCCTGGCATGGCTTCTGGGGACCTTTACGAGGTACGGGGACGCGGGGGCGCGGCCGGCCCCAGCCCGCGGGCGGCGGCGGGCGGCGGGCGGCGGGCGGCGGGGGCCGGGCCGGGGCCGGACGCGAGCCGG